CGACAAATCAATGTGTACCAGAGGTCATCCGAATGGTAATGGCAACAGCCACTCCCACCAAATCCGAGTTGAACAGACACTGAAATTCCAAATTCCCATTAGTTTAGTCAGGAATTTAAGTTATTAAAGTGAACACTTTTGGGGTTTTGTCTTTCACCATGAGGATTCCCGGCACTCTTATTACTCTTAATGGATATGGCTCGCTTGTCCAGGGAAGATAAGATGCTCTGTCAACATAGCTTTGTGATAATAGAATGAAAAACCATGATTAACTTTAACCATGGTTAGTTTGTGAAACCAGAATTCAGCCCACAGTCCAGTTTTTTCTAGAAAAATAGTAGTTCATTTCTTTCTTTCTGTTGCCTTGGAGGGTGCTGCCGGACAGAATAAGCCAGGATCAAACCAAGACAAAGCAAAGATTTCCCATTTCCCCCCCTTTATTCACAAGTCAGAAGAAATCTTGAGTGTCTGTTATTAAATCACATTGCTGAATAGGGGGACAGAAAGCAATCCTTAGTAGGTCTATTTAGAATCCGACTCAAGCATATTCAGTGGAAAGTCTTCAAGCGTATTCCAGGAAAGTCTTGCCATCTCTGAAATTTCATGTAGAACATCTAGAGCACTTTAGTCAGTAACTCGTTATGAATGTTTTTGTACTGTTGGATTTTAAATGGTTTTAATTATGTTTTATATTGGCGTTTGCCCCTATGTAAGCCGCCCTGAGCCCGCATTGCGGGGAGGGCGGGGTATAAATTGAATTAAATAAATAAATAAATAAATGGCGTGGTTAGTTATGTGACAGGAACCTAGAAGGCTGAGCAGCTAAAGCATAGAACAAAATGCATCTATTTATTGTAAAGTGCACAGTAACTACAAATTAAAAACATTCGTTGAATGTAGATAAAAACAAAGAGGTATCTATGTGTCAACCAAAAGTGACACATTGGTAGACACATGGATGCATGCTGTGAACAGAACAGCAAAGGGCAGAATGGTTGTAGAAGAAGAAGAGATTGGATTTATACCCCGCCCTTCACTACCCAAAGGAGTCTCAGAGCGTCTTACAAACCCCTTTCCCTTCCCCTCCCCACAACAGACACCCTGTGAGGTAGGTGGGGCGGAGAGAGCTCTTGACAGAAACTGCTCGTTTTCAAGGACAGCTCTTATCAGAACTACAGCTTGCCCAAGGTCATCCAGAGGCTGCAAGTGGAGGAGTGGGGAATCAAACCCGGTTTTCCCAGATTAGAGTCCGTGCACGTAACCACTACACCAAACTGGCTCACAAAGTTATCATTGTACAAAGTTATTGAAGTTATCTGTGTACGAAGTTATCATCTCTGTTGGCTGTGGGCTCCTTGACAGCAAAACTTTGTAACTGGTATTTGGAGCGACACTATTCCATTGATTCATGTACAACCTTCCTTGCCTGGAATAGATAGTTTACCTTCTGTGTGTGTCGTTATTGTTATTATTTAGGCCACTGAAGAAGGCCCTCAGGGCCGAAACACATTTGGTCTAGCGGTCATTGCATGCATGACCAATATTTTGGTCTAGCGGTCATTGTATGTGCAACTTACTTTGGTTGCTGTGCATGCTATATCTTAGTGGATGTGATGTGATACCCGCTGCCTCTTTATTTTTATCAGCATTCACCGAATGTTGTTTTTAATCTGTAGCTACTGTGCACCTTACAATAAATAGATGCAGGGGTCATTTCGTAGAAAAAGAGGTGCAGGAGCTCATTAGCATAACTCATTAGCATGACTTATTTGCATGTGCCACACCCCCTGACATCACCGGAAGTGTGTCAGAAGGCAACACCCACCGCTCAGGCTCCACTGGACTCTTTTGGGTTGCTAGCTATCGGTGGGGGGGAACGTGCAGATCTGTCCTCGCAGAGGAGGGAGAGCTTGTACCTGAATAAAACTTGGTCTTAAAGGTGCCACTGGACTGTTTTGGGCCGGGGGGCGGGGGGGGCTCTGTAACTTACCTGGCTGCTTCTTGCTCTGACTGAGGGCTGCTGGGAGCAGGGGGTGGGGCTTGTTGCATGTACCTACCCCCTGGGCCCTTTACTACCGGAGCTCCGCTCCTGTGCGCTCCTGCAGGAAATGACCCCTGAATAGATGTATCTTGTTCTATATTTTATGTTTTAGTTGCTCAGCCTTCTAGGTTCCTGACTTGATTCTCAAGTTGGGTTCCCCCCCCTTGCTGTTTCCTACGGTTAGTAATGAAATCCATCATATCACTATGGCAGTTGTCTTGCTAAGGAAGGACAAATAGGTACCTAGCTATATCTATTGCTGGAAACATCCACAAATGGAAGATCTTTACCTGGAGTTCTAGTTCTTGCAAAAGGTCATTATTTCTGATTATAGCCAAAAAGCCATTTAAAAACTTGCCACACAGATCTGTGGACAATGAAAGGAGCGGTGCGCATTCCTGTTGAATTTCCATCAGCTGGTGTTTTGTCTTGCTTCTCATATCTATCCGCACTGTAGGGAGGGAAACATAAAGGTTTAATTTCAGTCTACGAAGGGGCAAACTATAGGCCTTAAAAATCTGGATGTAGGTATTCAATTTCACTGAAAAGAATCTAGTCAGGTCACCATGTGAGCCCCAATATTAAATGTTACAAGCACATAGTATGACTATAGGAGGACAACTGGTAAAATTAAGTATTTTTTGCTCAGGCACGGTCTCATGTGGATCATCCTATTATGCATGAGCCTGGGAATCCTTGAGCTCAAATGCTTCCTTCCACCCACCTCTGCATATATTATCTAATTAAAGATTGCATCTGTCATTAACCACAAGCTGTGGTTTGCTCTCTTCCATTTTTCTGCTGTTCCTTCCAAATCATGCCAGAGAGCTTTTGAGTTTCTAAAAATCTTGACTAATGAGATTTTAGTGGAATGCTTTATTTCCCCCCAAAAAACTGAAGTTACTTGTATTCAGCCTGTAAAATGGGGTGGGGTATAACAAACTCAAGTGTGGCCCCGGTCACACGGAGCATTAGCCACGCTATAGAGACGGAAGATAGGCGGATTTTCCGGGCGCGATCACAGCACGACATCTGGGAAGCGTAGAGCTCCTGTGGCGAACCCGAGGCTTCCCACCAAAGATGCAGGGTAAAAAACTAGTACCTCGGAGGTACTAGTTTCCGGAAACCGCGGGGCAAGGGCGGGTGCCTGATCGCGTTTCCAGTGGAATCCCGTGGCATCTGGTGCCCGCCCATGTCCCGTCGCAGAGAAGGTTGTTGTTTTTAAAAGTCTCCACAGGATGCGCACAAGCACCCAACGGTGCAAGCGCATACTTGGGTTTAAAAAAACACAACAACCCCGTTTGCCACGGCAGCGCCGTTTCTTTGCCGCGCCATCTGATCGGCACCTCCCCTGGCTCCCCCCCCAACCACCGGACGTCGGTGGGACGTGTGATCCCGCGGCCGCACGGTAGTTCGCTCCGGGGCAAACAGCCACGCCTCCCCACTGCGATATCCGGCCCGTGTGACCGGGGCCTCTATCTACTTATTCAAAAGTCTAAGGATAACATTTTTTAATTGGACCCAAGGCTTTATTCAGCATCTGACCAGTACTTGTCACGTTCGATTTCCTAGACTACCTCCAGTTTCCTCATGTTCTTTTCTTCTCCTCCACCTTTTAACTCCAGTAACACAGAATTTATTTATGTTCTCCACAGCCAGTGATATCCATTACATTCTCCACCTCCAGTTTGAATGGCAGGCATCTTTTATAGGGGGCAGGGAAGGAGAGATTTGACCCTTTTTAAAAAGTTTTGGTTTTAACTGAAAATTATTTTTAACTCGTTGTAAGCTGCCTTGAACAACAAGGAAAGGTAGGATATAAATGATTTAACAATATAAAGGATTAAAAAAAAGATTTTACCTGCATCAGATTGATATCCAGGTTTGCATGAACCTGAAAGGAATCATAAATGGGAAAATTTGACATATTGACAGTACGAATACCATGAAGTGTCATTACATTAATGGATAATTTTCTCGCAGTATAATATCACCTCTGTGAATGTCTGGGATTGTCAGTTTTCACCAAGAAACTGTTTTACCTCACTCTAATGCTGTGTTTCATTCTGTTGTAAAGGAAACTTGAAGGTCTAAGTGCCCAGAATTTTTTCAGCAAAGGAGGGAAATTTGTTAGTACATGTTTTGAAAGATAAAACAGATAAAACACAAATGGGGAACATAAGTGTTTTTGGTGGTAGAATGGGTAGTAGCTTGTCCACCTGATGGGACAAAGCAAATGCTGGAAATCCTGCAAAGTCCTGCAAGGCAAGATGCAGCATCTGGAATTGTTTTCTTTTTATTTAAGAATTTCCCCTGTTAACTCTTTGCAACAGAGGTTAGGGATTGTTGGAGATTGTATTAGGAAGCTTCACCAGATAATTACACTAAATGTGAAAGGTTTAAATAATCCCAATTCTAAAAAAGCAATGTAATTAATCACTTAAGCAAAAGAAAGGTAACATATATTGTGTAGAGGTAACTGTTTTGGCCCGGTGCCTTGCCTAAGAACAGTAAAGTATTCTTCAGGGCTCACAGGGGAGGGCATTCCAAAGATGAGGTAGTACTACTGGGAAAGCCCTGTCTTTGGGCACCTCCAGCCTCAGCTCTGCAAGCAGCGGCGCAGAGAGATGGGCATGAGAAAAAAAATCTTAACTGGCAGCCTGAAAGAGGTGGTACTTTAAGTACCCTGACCCCAAGCCATTTAGCACCTTTAAAGGGAAGAACAAGCACTAAAGTGTTCCTGAAAATACAGGCATCCAGTGAAGATCTTATAGCACAGGGCTGATAGAATTGCTGTATCCAGGGCCTGACAAGTCGCATTTTGTACCCATTGAAGTTTTTATACTTTCAGCTTTAACCCTTGCTCTTACATTTAACAGGCCTGTGAATAGTTTAAACAATTTAGGCTTGGAAGAACATGTGTGTTTTATGTCCATTTATTTAGAATATATTTTTGTACACTCTGAACTCATTTTTCCTGTACCCTCATTCTCTGAACCACGTTCAAGTCATTTAAACCTTTAAAAAATATATATTAGCCCATTTATCAGTGTGTAAGATTGCTTTCCTAATACGCTGGCCATAATACAGCCAGGGTGTATCAGCCAGCAACCTCTGCCTTTAGGTTGAAGGGCAAAGAGGTGCTGGTGCTAGGGCCACCCAGGATACAGCGTCAAAAGGCCCTAGAATCTACTGCAGCCAAATGCCCCTCTGCAAAAACAGGGCGAACACTCTATCCCCCTTGTGAATATCATAAAGCATGCATGCACGCACGATGTCATCTTCCACCATTACAACTGATCCCCAGACAACACAGATCAGTTCCCCTGGAGAAAATGGCTGCTTTGGGAGTGGACTCTATGGCACATGGTACCCTGCTGAGGTCTCCTCCCTCCCCAAATGCTGGTCTCTCCACGCTCCACCCCCCAAATCTCCAGGTATTTCCCAACCCAGAGATGGCAACTCTAATCTATATGTAAGTATGAAACAAAGCTGCTCAAATATGCTTACGGAAAGTTTGTGTTCGGTCATCTGGAAAGATTGAAACACCTGTGTGTGGAGGAGCAAACAGAAAGAGGACAAACCACTATTAAATAATTTGTTTGAAAATTTTTAGTTGTGAACTTTTTAGAGGTTTTTTAAAAAAATTAATAATGTTTAAATTTGGAAAGATCACTTGAGCACGGTCCCGAACAGGTGTAGCATAGTGACTGATGTCCACAAGGCTGTGCAACAGAGGTTAGGGATTGTTGGAGATTGTATTAGGAAGCTTCACCAGATAATTATACTAAATGTGAAAGGTTTAAATAATCCCCCATGGTGGCTCCCCAAGAAATGCGGGTTGTAAGTAACAGCATTGTTGTACTCTCTTCCAGGAACAAAGCAAAGAAGGACTCAAACATTGTGTGTGAATAGGCCCACGCCGCCCACATCCTTCTCCACAATGACTACTCACACACACAGTATCTCACCTCTACAGCAACATCTCCCTGAACCTGTCTTTAATCCTTTCTGTTTGTCCCTTCTCTTCCAATTGGTCTTCTGCCCATTCTGCCATCTCCTGGCTGTTTCCCGTGGCCCCTCAGATGTTCCAGCTGCCTTGCCTCTTTCTGTACTCCAAATCCTGTCCTCCATACATGGAGACACAACTGTGCCATTGGAATGAAAGGGCATAACGTAGTTTGGCCATTCACAATTAGTTAACTTTATTTTTAGCTCCCACTAAAATTATCCCTGGATTGGTGTTCAAATTGGATTAGTTCGATGAGACCATAACAGACTACAGCAACACCTTCCTCTGACCGAGATCCAGGATCACCTGCTTAGATAGGGTGACCATATTTTGAAAAGCAAAAAAGAATATATTTCCCAACTGACTATGACAAATCTCATTTTAAATACCCCTCCTATTTAAGCTGAAGCTTGCCTCTGCTGGGGGACTATATAGGGTTGCCAAGTCGTTCTGACTCACCGGCGGGCGAGCGTTGCTTCGGTCCGGGAGCTGCCGAGAGGTGCGTGCGTGCGTGCCGCCAGAACGTCACAGGAAGTGATACACAACGTAGAGCACGTTGGGGGCATGGCCCCAATCGTTGGAGGGAAAACCATAGAGTTTTCCCTCCAACGATTGGGGCCACGCCCCCAACATGCTCTACGTGGTTGCATCACTTCCTGTGACGCACCCACGCTGTGCTTCGGAGGGCAGGGTTCCCCCCAGGGCCCAATTCTGCAGCGGCGGAAATCGGGCCTCCAAAGCAGGGGTTTACCCGCCACCCGCCCCCACTTAGCAGCCCTAGGACTATAAGGCAAAACAGGCTCAGCCTCCCAACCCAAAAAGAGGACATTTTTGTCAATTTTTTTTAAAAGACACCAAAAGTGGATGGACACAAAAAAGAGGGCATGTCCTCTAAAAAGGACAACTGGTAGCCCTAGCTTAGAAGATGCCTCTACTTCTTTGTAGCTAATGATAGTGGGCTATGGGTTTCAAAGTATCTTACCCAAGGATCCTTCTCTGATTAGTAATCGTTTGACTCTGAATGCCAGGGCGCAGGCCTTGGGGACGATTACTGCTTTCTTGCTGTCTCTGAGGCCCTAGAATGAAACAGAGTTTGCTCAGTATATTGCTCAAGATATTGTTTCTCTTGTAGACTCAGTGCAGACATAACATGAAATCATGATTTACTTTAACTGTGGTTAGTTTATGAAACCAGAATTCGGCTCACAGCCACTCAAATCCTGTTTCCTCATCTTCACTGTGACCAGAAATCTAACCAGGCAACAAGCCAGGATGATGTCAAAGAGGTCCGTGTTCATAACAACACAAAACCATACTTGAGTCTCTGGTTGATGAACCAACTGGTTTCAAATCCTATCTAATGGTTTGACAGATCCTATCTAACCATAGTGGTATGGCCTGTGTTCAGACAATCACATTAACTACAGCTGGTTTAATCAAACCAGGGCTTTGCATTATGTCCAAACCAAACCTTTCTCTCCAGTTTCTGGCACACAAACACGAATCTGACCGTAAATTTCATTTTGAGGCGGAGTTCAGCGAGGACGCTGCCTTCTGTTTTGCTGGAGTCTCTAAACTCGGCCGCTTCCACAGTCTCGACTGTCTCAGTGATGATGTACAGATCCCTTTGGAACTTCTCTGACTGCTTAATAAGCGGGTGATCCAAGTTGATTTTGCTATAGGAAAAGATAGGAATCCACTGTACAACAACAGAGCATTTATATAAACACTAAGAGTACTGCAAGATTAGGCAGAAGACAGAAGGTTCACTCTCCAAGCAACTTCCAGTGCAATCCTACGCAGAATTCATTTACTTCAGACTCAATTTAGTGCAGGGGTCCCCGACTTTTTTGGGGCCTGTGGGCACCTTGGGAATTCTGAGACAGGGTGGTGCGCACAACCACAAAATGGCCACACTGTGGGAGGTGGAGCCAGCCATAAAATAGCCACTGCAGCAAGCAGAAACACACAAGGAAAGCTCAAATACAGGGGATAAGAAGAGTAATTTTTAAAAAGAGGAGAGAATAAAAATAAACACTACAGTGGCAGCTTGCGCTGAAACCATGTTATTTTAACTAATCTGTGTGGTCAATCAGATCCTCAACACTAATCAGAAGCTGGGCAGTAGCCCCACCTGGTCATGCCCACTTTCTAAAAACACTTGGGGGGCACCAGAAAGGGTGTCTGTCCACAGGCACTGCATTGGGGACCCCCATTTCCGCACTAGACCTTAAATCCTGGTTCAACCCTGTCCCCAAACTTACATTCTACACTAAACGCAAGTTCATCCCTGTAATTATCTCGGGGTATTTTTACATAAGAACATAAGAGAAGCCAATGTTGGATCAGGCCAGTGGCCCATCCAGTCCAACACTCTGTCACACAGTGGCCAAAAACACCAGGTGCCATCAGGAGGTCCAGCAGTGGGGCCAGGACACTAGAAGCCCTCCCACTCTTGCCCCCCCCCCAGCACCAAGAATACAGAGCATCCCTTGCCCCAGACAGAGAGTTCCTTTCTATCCCTTGGGGCCACTGATGGACCTCTGCTCCATATGCATATCTAATTCCCTCTTGAAGCTGTCCATGTAGCCGCCGCCACCTCTTGTGGCAATGAATTCCATGTGTTAATCACTCTTTGGGTGAAGAATTCTACACTAAACGTGAGGTCACCCCTGTAATTATCTCGGGGTATTTTTACATTCTACACTACACTCGAGTTTACCCCTGTAATTATCTCGGGTATTTTTTGTTTCCATATTACACTGAGGTCACCCCGGTTTCGCCCCACACTTGTCCCGGGATAAACGGATGCTGTTATAACCAGGGATAAATGCGAGGTATTGTGTTACGAGTTGAGCTCAGATAAAACCAGGGATGAGATCCAAGTGCAAACTCTATGCAGGACTGCAGTGTAAAGAGAGCCCTCCTCCGAAGCAGAGGGCGGGGTAAAGAAGGGGGCGGGGCTTCACCACGTGACTGCCCCGCCCCCTAGAGGTTCTCTTCCGGAGCTCCGTACCTGAGAGCTCCCCCCCGACTAGAGCCCTGGCCCTCCTCCTCCAGTGCTGCTATAATCACTTTCTTATCCTACCCAGTAAATCCACTGGGTCAGCTTCTCTCCTCTCTCACTTTTGGGTGAAGAAGTTGCACAGACATTTGCTCAGGGTGGGAAAACGACACCACTGGCACCCTTTCCCTCCTCGCTCACACCTGCACTCTTGCTCTGGATGGGAAAGGCCCATACTATGGATTGCTTTCCCCTGCCTCAAAGCGGCTATTTACCTCTCCCAAGGAAAACAAAGCAGTAACCATTCATTTTTCCTCTGCAGGGCAAGTTGTAAGGGAGTGGGGATACTCTGCTTTGGCAAAACAGCAGAGGACGGGTTTTCACAATGGGTCACTGCAGACCTGCATCATTCCGTGATTGGCTCCATCTGCCAAGCTGGCATTTTGTGACCGATAGCTCTAGAGGCTCTTGAAGAAAGCCTTGGAGAAAATTAAGCAACCTAACATGAAGTCTGTCCTCAGTGATATATGATGTATGTTTCAGAGTCCAGTACATATAGATCTTTTTACAGTGTATGGCCTCTGTATTGACAGCCATTGTGGGATAGTGGTTAGAGTACTAGATTAGGATCTGGGAGATCCATATTCAGATCCTTGCTCTGCCATCAAGCAGAGTTGGTGGGTGATCTTGGGCCAGTCACTCTCTCAGCCTAAACTACTTCACAGGGCCATTCTCAGGTAGGGATGCCAGCCTCCAGGTGGGACCTGGGGATCCCCTGGAATTACAGCTCATCTGCAGACGACAGAGATCAGTTCCCCTGGAGAAAATGGCTGCTTTGGAGGGTGGACTCTGTGGTACATTATACCCCACTGGGGTCACTGTCCTCTCCAGGCTCCATCCCCAAATCTCCAGGAGTTTCCCAACCTGGATCTGGAAACCCTAGCCCCCAGGGGGGATGTGGCAACCCTAGATCCGAACCTAAGCTAGGGATGCCAGCCTCCTGGTGGGACCTGGGGATCCCCTGGAATTACAGCTCATCTTTAGACTACAGAGATCAGTTCCCCTGGAGAAAATGGATGCTTTTGGAGGGTGGACTCTATGGCATGGTGCCCCACTAGGATCACTGTCCTCCCCAGGCTCAACCCCCAAATCTCCAGGGGTTTTCCCACCTGGATCTGGCAGACCTCCCACCCATTCCCTGCTGGTGGCCAGGGGGGACCTGACAACCCTATTCTGAGTGGGGGGAAATGGGGAAAGGTGAGCCAAGTCCGCCAGTCTGATCTCCTTGGAGGAATGGCAGGAGAAAACTGGGATACATGGACAGAATTTCTTGCTTCCCCTCTATTTTGTGCTTTGGGATTAGTTAGCATGCAGAGCCTCAGAGCAGCATTTCTCCACATTCCTCCCTGATGGGGAATAAGAAGTTTAAAGCAGCAGTTCCCAGTCTTTTCAGTATGGTGACCCACATGTCAAAATCTACTTGGTATGGTGACCCATCCAGGACTGGCCCACGATCTTTTGGTGCCCTAGGCAAACTATGACCTTGGTACCAATCTAGTTCAGTATTCCATTCATCTACATTAACAATCAAGATGTTTTTGAGGAACCAATGAACATCACACAAAGGGTGCAGCTGCCCCCACTAGGAGCCACAAGCAAGTGGCGTTCTGACATACACAACATTTGCGTATGGAGGTTACATTCCAGCCTTTAACCACCCACTCGTCCTCCATTATTCCCTCCAACCCCCCCTAAATTTCTAGGAGGACACGTTTTAATTGATCAGCATGCATATGCAGTGAAGAAGAAATACCGACTACTGTATGACATGCAAGACCCTGTTTCCAGGGTCAGATCTTGGTTTCAAAGTATACAAAAGAGCAATAGAAAAGGCAGGGGTGGCCCTTAGGAAGGGCTGACCCATGACCTGCTTTCACAGGCTTTCCGACCCACTTTTGACATCCCGATCCACAGGTTGGGAAACACTGGTATAAAGGGCTGTTTTGGAGACCTCAGAAACAGAGCGAATCAATGAAAGTGGTGGTGAGAGCATTTTCAGTTGTCTCCAGGTTTTGGTTGGGTATTTGAAGTGGATCAAGATGGGTAGCTGTGTTAGTCTGTCTGTAGCAGTAGAAAAGAGCAAGAGTCCAGTAGCACCTTAAAGATTAACAAAGTTTGTGGCAGGGGATAAAGGTTTTGTGAGTCACTGCTCACTTCTAGCCACGTTAGTGTGTCTGTAGCAGTAGAAAAGAGCAAGAGTCCAGTAGCATCTTAAAGACAAAAAAAAAATGTGGCAGGATATGAGCTTTTGTGAGTCACTGAAGTGAACAGTGACATACGAAAGCTCCCCCCTCCCGCCACACTTTTTGTTAGTTTTTAAAGGTGCTTCTGGACTCTTGCTCTTTTCTACTATTCGAGGTGGATGTCCACACAGTTGTTCTCTTCCAGCTTACCTCTTTCCATGTAGAGAATCGAGAACTTGGCGACTGATGTGCCGCTTTTTCACTTTCACAGACCTTGCATGAGACGTGCTGGAACTGCTCTTAATTTCCACAGTTGCCAGGTCAATAGCCGCAGTCACATCCCCCTCTAATTTTCCATCCACGTGGTCCACAATAGTGAATGAGTCCGAATCATAGATATCTAGGGAGAGAAGTGGAGAAAACCTGTGATGAGGAAAAGAACCTTCAGTGGGAAGGTAACAGTGTTCCGTGCGCCTTGGTGTTTAGTCATGCCGGCCACATGACCACGGAAACGTCTTCGGACAGCACTGGCTCTTCGGCTTTGAAACGGAGATGAGCACCACAACCCTAGAGTCGGATTCGACTGGCTTTCTAGCAAGGGAACCTTTACCTTTACCTTACAGAGAATTGTAATGGGTAGGGAGGATATCTGAGGAACAGAATAGGAAAAGCATTATAAAAGAAACCTATCTTATTACAGAAAGGAAAAGGGGCTGAGCAGATCATGCTTATGAAGGAAAACAAAAACTGGTGAAACAAACTCTGTTGCCAAATGTGAAAGAGCTGGTGAGCACACAATTTGGTTTAAAATTCACCAGGACTTGAAGTCAAGATTTCCAAGATCCTAATATAAACACCCTACTACTGCACCATGTGTAAGTTACTCCTGTGGCAGATCCTTGGAGCTGTTTCAGGTTGGGGAAATGGTGGTGGGTGTGGGTGCGTTCCCCTTTCGGACACGGCATGGTCCCAAACTGAATTGAGACCACGTGTTCTTAGGAACTGAATTTGTAACATGTGCGGTTCTCAGTAACCTTGTTTTGGTTGAGCCCAGGTATGCTTAATTAAAACAAATGTACATTATTTATTCCCACCTCTTCTCCCTTTGTTGTCTTCCTTGTGTCGAATTTTTGAATGTAAACTTTTTGAGGAAGGGATGTGTGTTCTGGAACTCTATAAAGCATCGTGCATACTGATGGAACTGTTGTTGTTAAGTCGCACAGTCGAGTCCGACTCTTCGCGACCCTATGGACCAGATCATGCCAGGCCCTCCTGTCTTCCACCGTCCTCCAGAGTTTGCTCAATTTCATGTTCGTTGCATCTATGACACTCTAACCATCTCATCCTTTGCCGTCCCCGTCTTCTTTGACCTTCAATCTTTCCCAGCATCAGGGTCTTCTCCAGTGAGTGCTCCCTTCTCATTTGGTGGCCAAAGTATTTGAGCTTCAGTTTCATCATCTGGCCTTCCAGGGAACAGTCAGGGTTGATTTCTTTTAGGATTGACTGATTTGATCTTCTTGCAGTCCAAGGGACTCTCAAGAGTCTTCTCCAGCACCATAGTTCAAAAGAATCTATTATTCGGCGCTCGGTTCTCATTTGGTGGCCAAAGTATTTGAGCTTCAGTTTCATCATCTGGCCTTCCAGGGAACAGTCAGGGTTGATTTCTTTTAGGATTGACTGATTTGATCTTCTTGCAGTCCAAGGGACTCTCAAGAGTCTTCTCCAGCACCATAGTTCAAAAAAATCTATTCTTCGGTGCTCGGCCTTCCTTATAGTCCAACTCTCGCAGCCATACATGACTACTGGGAATACCATTGCTTTGACCATGTGGACTTTTGTTGGCAGGGTGATGTCTCTACTTTTTATCATGCTGTTTAGGTTCGCCATCGCTTTCCTCCCAAGGAGCAGGCGTCTTTTAATTTCATGGCTGCTGTTACAGTCTGCGGTGATCTGGGATCCCAGGTATGTGAAGTCTGTCACTACTTCCACGACTTCCTGTTGGATCCCAAGCATAAAAAACAACTCCACGTTGCAAAGCAAGTAAGGTTTATTTCAAAGCGTTGGTT